TGTTGTTTTTGTTGTTGTTGTTGTTGTTGTTGTTATTATTATTATTATTATTATTATTATTATTATTATTATTATTATTATTATTATTATTATTACACATTCATTGTGTTTTGAAATCTGTTCTTAAACACTTAAAAAACTCACTTGGAACTCACCAGAATTGGATTCTTCCTCTGAGATGAATTTAAAGCCATAATTCCAGGAATGCACATAAACTAAAACACAGAAAGCAGAAGGAAAGGGTAAGGAACATAGCAAGAAAACCATAAATGTAAAATTATATTATGGTTACATTTAATATCAAAAAAAAGTCAATCATTAGTGCCCCAAAAATATAGTCAGCCAGAAACATTCGTTATGAGCTATTATATATATATATAGTGATGAAAAGTCCTAATTTTTTTTACTTAGCCTTTCAGAGTTCTTTTTCACCCATGGAGCCTCCTTTATCAAGAAAGGCAACTATAGACAATTTCCATATTTAGAATTATCTATAGCCCTCTTGGGTGGTTGGAATAGGTAATTCCATGGATAGAGGCAGCATTTTGAGGTCCTTCTTTGGGCACAGAAGAGGGGTCATGCCTAGTTACTAATCTGGTTGGATGGACTGCTTCAAGATAGATTGGAATTGAAAAAAAATATGGAAGAAGCTAATAAAAAATTGTTTTCTATATTCTTGCCAAGAAAATTTCATGGCCATGTAAATGAATTCTCTAGGAATCAAAGCTTGATTCATAAGAAACTTTAGCTTTATATATAGAATAATATTGTTTAAAAAATCAGATACTGCAATGAATTGCAGCAAACCTTATTAGTCTCCTGTCCTAATTTTAAGCTCCTCTTTTACATTTAAGGAGCTGGGAAAAACATAGAGTCAGGAAAATACCTTAAGATCATGAACTAGGATAGAGGTAGGCAGTGAACTCAAACACAAATACACACAAATCAATCCTTATTAAAGATAAATGCTATTGAATTGAATTATCTTTGCTGACACAGAGAAATAATATTATTTTCTGATGCCCATTCAAAGCTCACTTTTCATATAGAGCGCAGAAATCAAAACTAAGAAGTCACTTCAATTGGCAATTCCAACAGCTGAAATGTAGCAGACACCACACTCCACATTAGCTGCCAGAGTTTTGCTAATAGGGGGCAATTGGGATAGTTTTAAAAGTACCTTGAATAGGTTCATGGAGTATTAANCAATAGCAGTTAGACTTATATACCGCTTCATAGGGCTTTCAGCCCTCTCTAAGCGGTTTACAGAGTCAGCCCCCAACAACAATCCAGGTCCTCATTTTACCCACCTCGGAAGGATGGAAGGCTGAGTCAACCCTGAGCCGGTGAGATTTGAACAGCCGAACTTCAGAACTGCAGTCAGCTGAAGTAGCCTGCAGTGCTGCATTTAACCACTGCGCCACCTCGGCTCTTTTAAGAAGCAATTAAAAACATATCACTGCTGCGAACCATGGAAAGAAAGTTCTATCCCATGAGGATAAAAAAAAAAAAATACTCCAAAATGTTTTTAAAATATTTGGATGGCTTGTTTTTATACACATTAGCTGGCTGGTCAGCATGGATTTCACCTGCTCCATCTGCTCTTGTGCTGTCAGAGTGACAAGCAAAAGTCTAATATCCAGTTCCTCTGTCAGATACAGCGTTATGAGAACCTGGCCCTCTTCCCCTACTATGATCTTAAAACATAAAAATCTTAACCCCACCCTCTCTCCTGAGAAGGGATATTCCAGAAAAGCTAGGACATAAGATTGGCTTACCATATGTCAGGTCTTGGATGGAGTACCTCCAAGGAGACCCATAGACTGAGTCTTATACTTTCTCTCAACTCAATGACACTTGTTTCACAACAGTTGTTTACATGTTTTTCTCAGAGAAGAAATGCTATTACTTTGCTCTGGAAAAAAAACTGCTGGGCATGTTGTGCTCAAAGAGTTTTGGTGGCCAAGAGCAAATGTCAAGTACTTTTCATCTGGCAGGTCTGTTGAGAGGCTAGGACAATTTCTCTGGATTTGATGTCACCATATTATATTCCAAGGATATTCAATCATTTGGGTATCATGGATCTATTTACCAATAAGATTCATTTGTTTCTTGCAAGAGGCTGCGACGCTCAGGAGATTGCACAACTTGTTCTAGCCCCCTCTCCCTATTTTTATGCAAACTAGTCAGAAAATCTCTGAATTTATATCCAAGTTTTGGAAGCACTGTTTCTACTGAGAATTTATGTTAATTTTTCTTCATATGGAATGTAATGGGCAATTGGAGAAGATGCATTATTTGAACATTATTTTGTTATGGTTTTATTTTCAGGACAAGCATAAGTTACAAAGTTATGGAGGTACTTACACCTGGTCCCTTACGTCACAGCCATTATGGTAACCCTTTGGTCAAATGATCAAAATTCGGTCACTTGGTAGCCCACAAGCACTTACACCAGCAGGGGTGCTTCAATTTTCCCCATCCTCTTAAACTCCTCTCACTCGTCTTATCTCCCACTCCCCAATCTCTTTTTGGTCAACCTGCACAGAAGCCGTCCTCAGCAGTGGTGGCAGCACTGAGGCTGAAGAAGACTTCTGAGGACAGCAGCAGGCAACTGAGACTGAAGACCCCAGGCCTCTGCTCCATCTCCATGCCATCACTGCTGCCACTGCCACCAAAAAGTGCAAAATTGCTTAGGGTAGCCAGAAGGGCACAAATGGAGGGGCAGGGGAGATAGGTGCATGGTAGTGGTGGTCCCTTATCAAGACTCGGGACTGGAAACAATGAAACCGGGGTTGGTCCTTGCCTGAAATTGGATTAACAATGACAATGGGGACTGTATTGCTATCGCTAAGCAATGCAGTTATGTAATGTTTCACTTCACATAATTTAGTCCCAATTATTATCGTAGCCCAAGGATCAATTATTAACCAAATGGCTGCCTCTTGCAGAATTCACCTCTAACAAGCCCTCTTCCATCTGAAATTCCCACAAAAGCCCCATTCCCAGGAACAGCCTCCAGCATTGCCAGACAATGATTTCCAGAACGATTCTTTGCTTTCTGACACTGGGGAGCCTCCAATGGGGAGGGGACACTTTTCTGCCCCACAGCTCAAATGTTTTCCAACCAAGGCATCTGAGCTTTGCAGATTTTAGCACACAAAATCTTAGCAATGATAAAATTGGGAAACATCAGCCTTGGCTTTCTGTACCAGAGGTGTTAAATGCAGAGTTGTTTGTAAACTCTCTGCTAAAAAAGAAATGAAGCTTGCCATAGAATCTGCTTTCTTATTATGCAGCCAATTTTCACTACAGAAAAGAAATCTTTCTGGGAAGGCATCCTCAGAGTATCAGTGTTTTTATTCACTTTTATAATAAAACATTTTTGTACATAAGTAAATTCATATATTTGAAGGTGTACATGTAGACAAATAGATGGATAGATAGACAATAATGTTAACACCTCTATTTTCAGGATCTGTTGAGAGTATTTTTCAATTTCTTTAATAATTGCACACATTTAATACTTTTTTAAAAATTATAAAAGGTCTGTTCATAAAATCCTTATATAATTTGTTTCTAAGTCAGCCTGATGTAAGGAGGAGGGTCACTTATTTTATAATCTGTTTCTGCATTTGGTTGAAGAAATTTTACTGGACAATTAAAAATTCTGTCCTCTTGATCTATAATAGAAGAATATAATAAATCTGTCACATATGGCAAAGTCAAACATTTTTTGCATTTTTAATATAATTTAACACTGAAGTTCTAAAAAAGAAGACCCTACATACCACGTGAAAGGCAGACTAATTCTGTAGTTTGTAACTGGTCGTCATTATTTTTTAGATGCTCCTAAGAATGAGAATGTGAAAATATTAAAACAGGCTTGCATACGGATCAAACTGATATCAGAATTTAGCCATAAATTATTATATTCCACACTTCACTTAATTAAAAAGTGGTTGCACAGTATGCTATAATAAAACTGAGATTCAAAATAAAATAGCAAAATAGGAATCATATACAAGCTCTTGCTAATCTTTAAAGATCTTAAACATGAGGCCTAATAAAATTATACAAAGAGAAGAAATGTTCAGGGCCAGCCTGTCAGTTTTGGAATGTAAGATAGAAGAAGTTTTGAAGGTTTTCGGGGCAAAATGTTATTTGCTCAGGTATTTTAAATGTATATAGTTGGTTATGCCATCCTAAAATTAGACAATGATATTGCACTTATTTAAAAAAACAGACACCAATTTTATCCATTGGATTAGCCCTAGCTATGCCAACTCACTTGGGGATTGGAGAAAAATATGCAACCTTGAGGTTGGTTAGCATCTTGAAGGATCTCCCCCACCTTTTGAACTTATTTATTCCTATTTTTGGGAAGAAATGGAGGTAGTAAGAGTTTTTATTTTCCTGGGCTCCAAGATCATCGCAGATGGGGACTGCAACCAAGACATTAAAAGACACTTGTTCCTGGGGAGGAAAGCTACGGCAAATCTAGACAACATACTAAAAAGCAGAGGTATCACCCTGATAACAAAAGTGTGTATAGTCAAGCCTATTGTGTTCCCATTTGCAATATATAGCTGTGAAAGTGGGACCATAAGGAAGGCTGAGCGTCAAAGAATTGAGGCCTTTGAACTATGGCACTGGAGAAGACTCCTGCAAGTCCCTTNAAAAATTGCTGTTTACTCCATCCTGTATCATAAGCAAAATGGCATAATTGCTGGAATTGAAGGAATCCTTCACAGTCCTGTCCAAACGCCCCAAATGTAATCAAATGTATTCAAAGGGCCATTCTGTGGCACAAAATTCGGGACTAGATGGCCGTAAAACTGGATTCAGTAGAGCTTTTCACACACATTCTTTTTTTAAATCAACTACTGATAAAGGCACATATTAGATGAGTAATTTCAGCAATCTAGGAAGCAAAGTTATTGTGGAGAGATTTGGTATAAGCATCCAGTATTGAGAAACATCAGAAACCCCAGAATCCCACTTGGCAAGATCTGTATTATATTTTTTAAAAAAAATATTCTACAAAACAACGAGCAGATTTTGGACCCCAGAAAGCAACAACCTGCCACTCTAAAGCAAGTGGAAAAATTTTGACTAAATTTTTCGTCTTTTTGGTTGTCATCATGAAATGCTATGTACTTACTTGTACTTGTTACTATGAAATCTAGGTCTTATTTTCCTGAATGCAAAGTAAGAGACGGCAAGTTCCCTAGAACTAACAATACATTTTTAAAACATTATGGAAAGAAGGATAGAAAATGTAGCTTACCACTCCAGCCCAAATGGGTATCCTAGATTTACTCAATTCTGATTCCTTTCTGAAAACACCATCTATTAATCCAGTGATGACACAAACTGTAGCACAAGCTATCTGAAGTAGCGCTAATATCAACATGCTTCTCTGGTTGAAGATGAAATATCTGTAGCGATCCATTCCACTGTATACAAATACACACATGTATTCAAGTCAGAAAGAAGCACAGAGATTATTAAAAATAAGACAGCCCTATAATGTGTCCTGAACAGAGATGCTCGCAAAATGTCCATTAGCATTTCTATAAACTTTAGGTGACACACTGATATTTCTAAAATAAACAAACTAGATTGCTTCATACCAAAGCAAAAAAAAAAGATTAAGTAATTTTGTCAGATGTCTTTGAATTTTATTGTGCATGATTCAATTCTTCATATATTTTTATTTTAATGCTTATTTTTGCAATTATCAATTCACATGGTTTGAAATGGGTTGAAATTGTCTTCTCACTTCCTTTTAACAAAGCTAGGCTTCAGATTTCTTTATTACAGGTTGTCCTCACTTAACAAGAATAATTGGGGCCAGAATTTCCATCACTAAACAATGCAGTCACAAAGTGCAATGACATTGCATTGCTTAGTAATAGCAATTCTGGCAATTCCTATTGCCATTGTTACATGAAGATCATGGGCCATTAAACAAGGACCTCCTGTGATCATAATTTGTGACTTTTTTCCAGTTTCTAATGAGCAAAGTCAGTGGGAAAGCCAGCAGGAAGTTGCAAGCTCGGGTTACCACAAACGTTTCCTTAGGCGGCTTTTGCAAGCAGGCCAGCAGTAGACTGGGTGAGACTACAGAATGTAGGCAGACATTCTAGGGCAGATGCTGCAGTGTGGTACAGCTTGAATGCAGTTGAGCAATGAAGGAGTACTTCTGTCCAGCACTTTTCCACACTGAGGATCTGGATCTATATTCTCACGGTCCACATCTCATCAGGACTCTGAGAGTCTTGTTCTAGACTCTCCTACTTATGGGAAACCAAGGTTCAATTTCATAAGGCCCAGAGATTCTTTATCAATGAGATTGGCAGTATATACATTTAATTAATTAATTAATTATGTATAGGATTGCACTAAACTATGTTCCATTGGAATATTATCATTATCATAAATTTATACTCACAGAGCATTTAACAATTTCTCATTATTTGGGCAAGTGGTGACCTACAACCATGATCGAAATCAAGTAACCATATAGAGGAAAGAAAAGTGGCTCTGGTCCAAAATATCAGGAACTACAGGTTCTGTAAAAAGTATTAGTAACGGGAGATTATGGATCCAAATACAGTAATGAATAGAGCTTTTCTGGTCTAAGAGTCAAATGTAATTGGAGTTCCTGTTCTTTTATTTGTCATGTTCAGCTTCCTTCCATAACAGAGAACCTCTGTGAAATCCAGCCCTGCTAAAAGAATTGAAAGAGCTGTTGAGGTATTGTCCCAAAAGTGCTTTTTTTCTCAAAAGGCAACAAGACTTTCTTTTTTTTCTTTGAAGATTTTTTCCAGAGGAAAAAAATAATTGAAGACTACAGGAACCAGAAACACTACTCAGGTGACCTGGAGGCAGGGGTGGGTTTCTACCGGTCAGTCCCGAACCGGTTGGTCGGTGGATCCGGAAGTAAGTAACTTCCAGGAACGCCGGCACCGGCTGTGTCGCTCGATTGCCCTTGCCGTCCAGTTGCAGCTTGCCTGCTCCCCCGCCCGTTTGCACTAAACTAGGTAGCCCAGCCCAGGCAACCTGTTTAAAAGCAAGGCACCAATCGGTCCTCCCTTCACTTTGGCTTCCAGGAGCTTGCTGCTTCCCTCAGGTAAGCAACTAAGTGTGAGGGGGGCAGCGGGACTCGGGAGGGAGGCTAGCTTACAGCAGCTTGCGAAAGCCACAAGCTGGCATATGCCGTGTGGCCAAAAGTGGGTGGGCGGCGGCGGCCTAGCTTTCGCAAGGGAAGGCCTTCAGGCCCTAGGGAAGGCCTTCAGGCCCTAGCGAAAGCCACGCGGTCGAAGGTGGGTGGGTGGCGGCCTAGCTTTTGTGAGGGAAGGCCTTCTCTAGCGAAAGCTGCGGGCTGGCGGTAGCGGCGGTAGCAGCAGTAGTGGCGCCGACAGCCTAGTTTTCACAAGGGAAGGCCTTCAGGCCTTCCCTAGCGAAAACCACGGGCTGGCGTATGCCACACGGCTGAAAGCCCCCCGCCCCTCCCTCTCCAGCCTTGCCTGGCTGGCTAAGCCTGTCAGGTGACCTGCTTAAGCCTGGCCTTGTCCCGCCAGTCCAGTGTCTTACCTGTTCCTGTTGCCTCTCTGCCTGCCTGCTCCCTGTTGCTTCCATCCATCGCGACGAGGATCCATCGCATCGGAGTGCTGCTGATTCTGCCTGCTGGTAAGTGATCCGGGTTTTTTTCTTTTATTTTTTTAATGTATTTTAAAATAATATTTTATTTATTGTGCATAGNCTCTTTAGAAGGCCAAATCCTGAAGATGAAACTCAAATACTTTGGCCACCAAATGAGAAGGAAGGACTCACTGGAGAAGAGCTGGGAAAGATTGAGGACAAGAGAAGAAGGGGATGACAGAGAATAAGGTGGCTGGAAGGAGTCACTGAAACAGTAGGTGTGAGCTTAAATGGACTCCAGGGGATGGTAGAGGATAGGAAGGCCTGGAGGAACATTGTTCATGGGGTCGTGATGGGTCGGACACGACTTCACAACTAACAACAACAATTCCTGTTTTAACTGTCTCTTATTGGAATACAATATTTATATGGGTTTTATGTTTAATTGGACACCACACAGAGTTGCTGTGTGATATCTGAGCAAATAAATATCATATTTTGCATCATATTTAATTACAGATAGCATACTGACACAATTAATCAAAAGCGTATTTTTGTAAACATTCTCGTGAAAAACCTGATAACAAGCTGTGCAAAAGAATTCCTTCCAGAAAAGGAATGCACAATGAAACAATAAGGAATATTGTTTGAATCATGTACACAAGCGTCTATTTACAGGAAACTGCAATATATCCCATAAAAGGGCATCCTTGGAATTGAATTAGGCCTTTTACATGAACAAACCTTAAAATCAGAATTGTACTTATTTTTTCTAAGCATAAGTAGCCCATGAAAAATGTATCTTGTATACACAGAGGAAAAATAAACCTCTTTTTATATATGTATTATCTGTTGGAAAGATCACAATAATTTATAGGGGATACAAGCTTTCTTCATCTAGTGACTGATTGAAATCTATGGTTGTTTAATTTGAATAGTGTTACAATGGGATGCATCTGTGACCGAACACACCCTCCTTAATGATGCTGCTACTTACAAGTCCAGTGATACTGTCATAGCATGAACAACATGGAAGACTTCGGCAGCTGACATACACAATCACCAGCACAATACATATACTAAAAATTGATGAAATAATCATTGTGATGTTAGCTCCTTGAACCAGTTTACCCAGCACAAATACCTGCAGTTCAAAATACAGAAAATTCACACGCATGTTTTATCAAAATAAAAGGAAACAATACAACTACTCTAGATATTGAGTTATGCTCTGGGACACCTTCCTCACGTTCCTTCCTCAGACTTTTGGAGGTTTCTTGCCACTCTCAAAAAGATTTGGGAAATCTTTTCTACTAATGCTACAGAATGAGTGAAATGGATATATCTGAAATTCTTAGATGCTTTTTTAAAATGTAGTAAAAGTTTTCAAGCAGATTGAATCCCCATCTATTGGAGATAGAATATTTGAATTGGATTCTGGTCAAATGACCAAGCCCAATATTGTAATCTGTTTTGCAGTGGTTAAGTGAACACTGCAATCATTAAGTAAACCTATTGTTGACAATGGGCATTTTTTTGCTGGGTACTGGAACCAAAATATACATTGTGTCATTTAACCTCAGGGTGCTTCCAACTGTTCTGACTGGCTATCAGAACTTCAAATTTGAGTCATAAGTAGCTCAGAGAAAGTCCATCATAACTTTGAATTGTTGCTAAGTGACTGGAGAAGGACATTATGGGATTTTAGCATTGTTTTCAGTTGTGCTCTATATGCCTGAATGCTCAGAATTTACATCTATCCTACATGCTTTACATTAACTTCTGTCTAGATCACTTGTGATGAATAGAGACAATTAGGTACAACTTATTTATTATGCAATTAATAGTGGAGAGTGGAGAAAATCACATTATAACTACAAGTAGTCCTCAATCTATGACTTTAATTAATCCCTGAATTACAGTCATAAGTCATGCTGGTAGTTAAATAGATCATCATGTGACTGCACCTTATTTTATGACCTTTTTGTGGTGATCATTTAACAAATCCATTGTTTGTAATGGGTGTTTTTTAACTAGAAACCAGAAATATACATCATTTTCCAGCAAAAAAATGTTATAAAACATAGTTCATTGGACCACAAGCTGCTGCAAACAACCATAAATGCAATCGCATGACTGGGGCAGCATCAGTCAGAACTTAAAATCTGGGTCATAAGTAACCCTGGGGAAGTCCTCTGTAAGTTTGAACAGTCGCTAAGTCATCAGTCATAAATTAAAGAGTACCTATACTCTGTACCATTTGGTAGCATAACATAATCCTAATATTTGGATTTGCATTATAAACCACAAAGTTTAAACCAAACCTTCCAAACCAATGCCTTCCAAATAGATTTCATTGTTTATCATGCACTAGCTGTACATTATAGGATCTGTGGTTCAGATAATCTAAAGGAACCAGCATAAACTCAATATTAATCTTTGCATTCAGATTTGCACTAGGAGCATGAACTGGAATAGTGTACAAGGTTTATGAAAGAACAGGAATTTAATGGAGAATAACTGACACAAATATGCTACTTACGATATCTGGGTGGTTATAGGATACATTATTAGACTCCTCCTCACCATACTCTAATGTCATAGAGGCATAAATTATGACAGTTAAAGTGGTGAAACAGGAAAATACTGAAGCAATTATAGTGGCATTCACCTATAGAAGGAATACAGAAAACGTAAGATTTGATTTGATTGATTGATTGATTTTCCTCAAGGAAAACAAACTGTTTCTTCACACCATAACTGAATATCTCAATACGAATGTGAAAATACACAAAGGAATCAAATCTAAAGTTCTTTAGGGAAACCCACATACTAAAAATGCATGCTAAATGGCTTTTCACCCAGTCCTAGGAGGACTGAGAGTGAGACCCTTTGCTTCATTGTACGTGCCATTTTTTAATCTTTGTCTCTTACTTTTTAGTGATTTGATTGTAATTTCTTTGAGTCACCCAGAATCACTAAGAATTGACTGGCATACAAGTTTAATTTTATTATTATATAATTGTATCACAGCGGCCAGTTGTTTCGTCGGATTTGGCATTGGTTACTAGTCAGGCCCCACCCAGGGGCCTAGGACGGCGTAACGTATTTT